TGGGACAGGGGGGACCTGGGGTGGCGCAGCTCTGGCTGTGTTGCGCTGGGCTCTGCTGCCTCCTGCCCAGCTCCTGGGGTGCAAAACCCCCCATCTGTCTGCAGCCCACCATGCTGGGCTGCTGTGATCCCAGCGGGATATTCCTGAGGGAGGGAGAAGGGCGGCAGCATGCAGGGAATCTTCCTCCAGCCCAGACCCCCAGCGTCCCTCTGCTCCTGCCCACTGAGCCTGCAGCTGGGGGGACCCGCAAAACACAGGCGAGGGGCTGTGTGTGGGGTCAGAATGGGGCCCTGGACCCTGGAGGGCTCCTGGAGCTTGGAACGACTGGCACCACAGGGTGCCCGGCAGCTCTCCTCCCACCCCTTGATCGTTGTGTCCCATCTAACATCTCCTCCTTCCTCCAGTTTGGCCAAGCTCAGACCCCCATCCGTGCGGCGAAGCCCCCCCGTTCCGGCCACAGGGAGCGGAACAAGGAGAACGTGTCGCAGCTGAACGGGACCACCCTGAGCGGTGGGTGCACCCCCACAGCCCCTGCCCAGCGTAACCACAGCGTTAGTTCTGTTGCCAGCACCTATTCTGAGTTTGCGGTAATTCACCTCTTCTAACCCCACCTCCCCTCGCTGGGCGGCACAGGGGCTGTGCTCCCCGCTCCCCGAGCACCCCCGTGTCCCCGCCTGTGCCGGGGGTGGGGGAATCTCTTGGCCCTACATTGAGAACTTTCAATGGAAACGCTGTTGGCGGGGGCACCCCCAGCCCCCTCCCCAGCCCTGGTCTGTCTGCAGCTGCTTGAGCAAAGCCTCCCCCACCCCCAGCTCCGAGTCCTGGGATGGGGGGTGTCTGGGGGTGGGGATGCTCCCCACCTCGGGGGCTGCAGCAGGTGGCCTGGCAGCAGCAGCGCTCTGGCTGTCCTCACCCTCAGCGGGGAGGGAAGGGAGGGTCTCCTGCCCCCCCCCGGGGCTGGGGCAGCCTGTTCCTGCTGCCTGCACGGGCCTGACCCCCATGTGCTCTCACGGGATGCTGCTCGCTGTCCCCCTGAGCAGGGTCTGCACTGGGACCCCGGCATCTGTCCCTCCCTTTTCCACTGTTCCCCCACTTTCTGCTGGTTTTTCACGAGCAGCCCTTCATACGGCCAGCATCCTGCTCATGGGTGCTGAGGGCCCCGGGGCTGTGCCGAGGGGTCCAGGCTGTGGTCCTGGGCTGGGGCACAGTTGTGGGGCAGGGAGGGCAATGGAGGCAGATTCCTGTTTTTTTGCAGGCCCCGGGCTGTCCCTGTCCTTCCCCTCACTGGGGACAGCCGCCTGCTGCTGCAGGGAGGACGCGGGTCCCAGGGATCCTGCTCCTGGGGGGCTGAGGGGCTCCGGGGTCTCTCTCGGCTGCTCCCCACTAATGCCTTCCTGCCCTCTTCTGATGCACGAGAGGGAGGGGACCCCAAACTCCTCCTGGCTGGTCTGGAGCTGTTCCCAAGGAGCAGCAGCTCCCTCCCCTCATCCCCATCTCCCCCTTCTTTCCGCAGCAAGAACTTTCAAAGGCTTCCAGGTCTGAGAGCAGCTCCCGCATCCTCAACTCCACCACCACCCACACCTTCTACTGAGGGCAGCTGCTTGCAGCTGCGCCCGCTCCGGCAGAGCCCCCGACCGCTCTCAGGTGTCCCCCCAGGCTCTCTGCGGGGCTGGGGAGGGGTGGGAAGGGGCACTTCTAAAAACTTGCTTTTATTTAGGGAATTCTTGCAAATGTTTGTGATTAAAGATTTGAGTTGTGTTAGAGTAGTGCAGCGGGGGGGGGGGCAGCTCCTGCCGCAGCCCCCCTGGCTCGGGGGAGTGCAGGTGCTCCAAGGGGGGGCTCTGCCCCCTGAGCCTGCTCTGGGACAGACAGGACCTGCTTCAGGGAGCTGCTGTGGGCCCCTCCTGACCTGCTCCCCCCCATTTCTGCAACTTGTCCATTGCCCTGCAGGCTTGTGTCAGGGGGGAGCTCGCTTCTGCTGAGGGTCCCTGGGCAGGCTCTGCTGGAACCCCCCCTCCAGCGCTGAGCTCACCCTGCCACAGGCTGGGTGCGGTGCCGGGGGTCC